TGCTGTGTGCAACTGAATTGTATGCAACACAGCACATACACAGCGTCCTTTCCCGTTTCCCTACTGATATGCTTCTCAACTGTTTTTAACACTCTCATTAAAAGTGAAAGGAAAGAGTGTAAATGTTTTCTGAATGCAATGAGAGAACATGAGAGAAAATAAACACATCAATCATTAAGGTGCGTGTTTCGTTCACACCACCACTTTATTCATATTTAAATATATAAAAACATGTTTGTATATTTCTGATAACTATGAATTATGCAGCCCACATCAAATCCCAAAACCTCATCTTAAACATTGCCAAGACTGAAAAACTATAGAATTATTTATTAAGAATGTGCACACTTGGTTTACATTAGAAAACCTGCTATACTTTGGAAAACTTGCTATAAATATTTTGGGGATTGTTTGGTCTAGACACTGGCATCCTGATTACAAATATAAATATACTTGTGCACGTATAGTCCATTTGAAAATGTTTATATACTGTAGATGTTTACTTCTGAGGCTTATTTCTTTAAGATAAAAAAATGCAACTATGTTTGGATAATCAAATTCCACCATAAGAAAATGGACATGATTTTATTTAACATTGCATTTGGACTGGATTTATAAATAAATAATTCGCTAAGAAGGTACCTGTCCATAATTTAGGCAACAGGCAAAAATGGGAGTTTTTTCAATTTTTATATATATATATACAGTGCCTTGCGAAAGTATTCATACCCCTTCATTTATTTCACGCTTTGTTATGTTGCAGCCTTATGTTAAACTGCTTTAAATTAGTTTTTTTCCCACATCAATCTACACCATAATGACAAAGCAAAAAAAAAAAAAAAAACAGAACTGTCACAACTTTGTAAATTTATTAAAAATAAAAAACTGAAATAAGTACATTGCATAAGTATTCTATACTAAATAACTTATTACTTAGCTGAAGCACCTTAACAGCCTCAAGTCTTTTTGGGTATGATGCGACAAGCTTTGCACATCAGCATTTGGAAATTCTCTGTCATTCTTCTCCTCACCTCTTCACCTCTCAGGCTCTGTCAGGTTGGATGGGGGCAGATGCATCATTTTCAGGTTTCTCCAGAAATATTTGATTGGGTTCAAGCTCAAGCTTTGGCTGGGTCACTCATGGACATTCACAGAGTTGTCTATAAGCCACTCTTGCTGTGTTTAGGTTCATTGTCCTGTTGGAAGGTGAAGCTTCTGCCCAGTCTGAGGTTCTGAATGCTCTGGCCTAGGTTTTCATTCAGGCTATCTCTATATTTTGGTGCACTGAGCTTTTCTTCTACTCTGACGAGTCCCTCAGCCCCTGCCGTTGAAAAACAGCCCCACAGCATGAGGCTGCTACCAGCACACTTTACTTTTGGGATGGTACTCTGCAGGTGATGAGCAGTGCCTGGTTTCCTTCAAACGTGATGCTTGGAATTGAGGTTCATCAAACCAGAGAATCTTATTTCTCAAAGTCTAAGGGTCCTTTCGGTGCTTTTTTGCAAATTCCAAGTGGGTTTTTGTGTGTCTTCACTGAGGAGAGGATTGAGTTTGGCCACACCGACATAAAGCCCAGATCGGTGGAGTGTTGCAGTGATGTTTGTCCTTCTGTTAATGAAGGCTACATGATTCTGTGAACCTTCAATGAAGCAGAATTTTTAAAAATTAAATTAAATAAAATTAATACCATATGAGCGGAGTAGGGCAATGTCTATAGTACCATATTAAACTGTAAAATTACTATAAAAAGCATAATTTACAGTTCAGATACAATATATATATATATATATATAAATTAGGAATGGGAAGATTCCCCGATTCACTCAGTGCATCGGCATAAAAAGTTAACGATGCGATGCATCGGTTTAAAAAGTGTGCATCGGCTACAAGTTGGCATTTATATCGCGATGCATCATTTCTAACATATTTGCATCAGTAAAAACCGATTTATTTATATATAATTACTAGTGGATGCGCTGCACTTTTATTATTTAGAAAGTGACCAATAATCTGTGACCAATATTTTATATGTACATTGATTTCTCCTCTCTAAAGTTTCTCAAGCGCGTTCTCTCATCACCCTGCTGCTGCGTGAATATGACGAATCACAACACCACGGAGACCTGAGGAAAAGCGGGGATTAAAGTTCAAAACCTGACCTGAAATAACCTAACAAATCAATCGGGGCTAAAGCGG